AAAGGTAGCCGCCAGAGTTGATCAGGGTATGTGGGTTCATATCTTTTATGAACTCAAGTCCACGAGAGTTTATTTTTTTTGTTCTACACTTCTTGGCGAGCGAGTATATATATACATACGAGTCTTTACGCCAAGCAGCGGCGAGGACGACGAATTAGACCACGATATTCCACGCTGGAGTTTTACGTGAAGTGGTGTAAACCCGATATTCGCGATATGCAGTGGTTTGTGAAATCGATTTTTCATATCACGGGTGCAACTCCAATAAGCTTAGAAATGCTATAGGTGTTTTCTCCGTGACCATACGAGTATCCCTCATGACTTGCACACGACACCATTGCACAATCAGAAAAAAATAGAAGTGACAATTGACTGGTGATGATAGTGATAACAGAAATGTTTAATATTTACTCCCAACTCTTTCTGTATTCTTCAGAGCATAAGCTCAATCGATACACAGACGAGGTGCTTATGGTTTGTCAACTGGGATACCAACAGCAACATTATCTGCGTCGGGCTGGGTTCCTCTGGCCATCGTCACACCATTGGTATTGATCTGAACAGTTACAGTTTAGATGTAAATTGGAAATTCACCCTAGTGATATGAAAAACACTAGTGAAAAGTATATTTCACTGTGTAGTCGGTCGCGGTAACATACACGTTCTATGATCTACACGGAGTTTTTCACCAACTAGTGAAACTCCATTGAGGAGTTTGCATGTACACTATAATCTTCACGAGGATTGATATTCATACTGATGTTAATTTCATTGTTAAATTCTCTTATGAAGGAGTTTCACGACCCGTTTCACGTAATACTCTGTGAAAAACGCGATATTATTCGCGGTGATATGCATCAGTAGTCGTGAAATACATTTTCACTAGTGTTTTTCATATCACTAGGGTGGTGGAACCCCAATATTACAAATATTATATGCAAATGAATAACCCCATGACCAAGCCAACGAGAAATCTAAAATATGTCCCGACCCGATAGAATATTAAAGAGAACTCTGAGAGGCCTATGCTAATATAAAGTCAACGGTCTCATTGAAAATGGATTTCAAAACGGTAAAAGAAAACCAGCATGACTCGAAATACGAACGATTAACCTCATTTACACGACGTTGATGATCAACCCTTACCGTATAAGCGTAAGTCACTGGTGCTTCCCTAGTGACCAAGATTCCACTACGGAGCCTTACAGTGTACACTAGAGCGATCACGGAGGCCATCTGAACGACCATTGTGATACTAGTACAGGAAAAGGTAGAACTCACCAAAGACAATATGACGACAAGACCGAAGAGAACACCGTAACTCCAGTACGTGGCTGTACTCGTGCTCGCCCAGTAGGTGAAGTTCAAGTAATCTTGCACGTTGTAATCAGCACATGCGTATCTACCAAAACAATGGTGAGAAACACATTTCACTTCGCGAAAAACGCCAATGAATCTCCTGTCAGAAGCTTTCTCGAGATGAAACCTCACCGAGGTGCGGTAACGGCATTGACCACTCTGGAGCCGTCGACGTTGCAGTCTTGGATGAACTGGTGACACCCCGTGACGAAACTGTAGACCTAGTGGTGACACCCATAAATCTCGGGCAAGTCTTCAACGCTCACTCTGATGATGTGAATGACGTAGAGTATGAAAAGTAGCAGCGAGAGGATTCCAACTGTGAGCATGGACATAGTACTATTGCGTAGAAACGCGTAGTACAGTATGCACGGCGTCAAGAACGACAACACGTTGAGAATGTACAACCTGTTGATAAACAAATCACAAGTGAGAAAAGAATCACCTTCACTTTACCATGAATACACCGGAATAACAACCCATATGCGAACAGCGGCGAATATGGCAATAAGCAGGATCGGGAAGGCAGCAACGACCAAAGCCAAGGAGACTGGCAGCTGCTTATTGGGATCGGACAACACCAGACCGAATCTGAATATAAAAACTCCACCTTATATATCAAAAGTTGCTTACGGTGCGGTAGGACGCGTTTCAGCTGCTCGAAATGACGACATATCTTCGTGGATGTGCGAACGTTTCACTTGGCGACGCGTGATGTCATTAGCGCACGCCCTGGTGATCGATATTAACTGCACGCAGAGTTGTAGTAGTGACGAAGGCTTTGGAGTCGATTTTTGGAGGTACGTTAGCATGCAAACTGAATGAGCGGAGCGAAGTGATTTTCTTTTGCATGAAATTGAACTATGAGGGAAAGGTAGTGGGGAGTGAACGTAGGAAGTGCAGTATGGGAAAATGTGGGAAATTTGAGGAAATTTCGGGAAATTTTTTTTCGAAACTTTCTACCCGATTTCGATACTGCATCTATACTTTCGAGCAAACTAAAGGAAACTATTTATTTCTGGCTACTTCTCGTATTTATTTTTTTGCTATTCTAGATGACTTAATCTCATAGGGCTTCGATTCTTACAGTACTGTTTCCGAGAGCCACAGCTCGCGAAGTTCTTCATAAATAGATGGTGAATACGTCTTAGAAAATTCACTGATCTCGAGTCGAAGGGTGGACAGGTACATTTTGAAATACATTTTCAGTGGAGTTTCACGACGACCCGTTTTACGTGAAGTGGCGTCGTAAAACTCGGTGAAAAACGCGATTTTATTCGCGGCCTGTAGTAGTCGTGAAATATGTTTTTCATATCACTAGGGTGGTGAAACTCCAATTTATAGGAATTTATTAATCGTATGAGGAAATCACGTTCAAGAACAGGGACATCTGTTTCGGGTTAGACTTCTGAAATGTGTAGTAGTGAAGGATTGAATTTTCAAACAGATGACTGAGCATTGACCTCGACAGGCGAACACGCTAAAAATGACATCCGTGGGACTTGAACCCACGGTCAAGTGACGTAGCTGAGAGAAATGAGTGTATCGTTTGAATATTATTTCAAGAGGATTATCAACACCATGGGCGACAAATTCATCAATGTATTTACGAATTCTACTCATTTTTTCTTACGCAATCGGGTAGAAATGTACAAAAACCAACAAGAATTTTCCCGAAAATTCTCTCAGAACTTTGTGTTTGTTGACCATGTGCATATTTTTTCACTCTAGTTTTTTCTCCATAACATTTTCTATGGTCATCTCTACTTGTCCGCTGGACGCTGTGTTGTTGCCATTCATTTGCATGGTGCCTCTGGTGAAGTGAGCTCATTTGAATTGCTCATTTTTCAATCAGAATTTACGTCAGGATTCTTCTCGGGCTCGATCAGCCTGGTAGGAAATCACAGCGACAGAG